CATTGTGGCCGTGGCTAGTTTCATTTCACAGTTTTTACAGGTATGCTGTTGCAGTTTTAGACATATTAAAAACAAAACATAATCTAGAATAGCAGTTGTGGAAAAATTGTTTGGTTGAATACTAATACATGTTGTAAACAAACAAATAAACAAACAAAAAATCTGTTAAAAAAAAGAAAAATTACTGGTAACTTTCTGCCAGTACATTTGTTTGTTTCTTTTTTTTAAAGGAAGTTTCCACAGATGGCGGGGGTGGTTCGCTTTATTGTAGGGTCTATCTTACAATATAAAATGCCTTGAGGCGACTGTTGTTCCGATTAGACGCTGTATAAATAAATTTTAAAATGAACTGAGTACAGAGTAATGGTAAGAATCAATGTGTGGTTAAAGGGTCAATACTGTATTTTATGGATTTTTTACAGTGCACATTTAATATTACAGGGATATTCTTTTGCTAAATCTGGAGAGCTTCTGACACGCCGCCTGAGAAAAGTGGGCTTCCAGGCCATGTTGAAACAAGAGATTGGCTGGTTTGATAACCCTATAAACAGTCCTGGAGCTCTGACCACCAGACTGGCCACAGATGCATCCATGGTTCAGGGGGTAAGTAGGAAACTACAGGACTGTTTTCACAGTTTTGGTTTTACAATTAAAATCTTGGGGTTTTTTTTAATATTTTTTAACATGCTTGAATAATTTCTGTAGGCAACAGGACCCCAGATTGGCATGATTGTTAACTCATTGACCAGCATAGGAGTCTCTTTCATCATTGCCTTCTACTTCAGCTGGAAATTAACATTGGTAATTTTGTGCTTCCTGCCGCTCATTGGGCTGTCTGGGGTATTCCAAGCCAAGATGCTGACAGGTTTTGCAAATGAAGATAAGAAGGCAATGGAAGAAGCAGGTCAGGTAAGCTCATCTTCCATTTTAATATCATACCAGTTCACAGGCAGCTTTGAATTTCTTGCGGTTAAGTGATTTCTCTCCCACAGGTATCCAGTGAGGCTCTTGCCAACATCAGAACCATTGCAGGTTTGGCCAAAGAGAGCTCATTTGTGGATTCGTATGAGCAGAAACTTGAATTACCTTATAAGTCTGCCAAGAAAAAAGCCAACATCTATGGGCTCTGTTTTGGTTTTGCTCAGTGTGTCATCTTCATGGCTTACGCTGCTTCATTTAGATACGGAGGCTTCCTGGTCAGGGCTGAGGGTCTGCAATACATGTTTGTTTTTAGGTTGGTAAAAATCTTGCTTTTTGACATGTTCAGCTTTGTGATGTGATTGCCAAACATCAACACTGTGGTCATGTGTTTCCCCAGGGTGATTTCAGCAGTCGTGATCAGTGGGACAGCACTGGGCAGAGCTTCCTCGTTCACTCCAGATTATGCCAAAGCCAAAACTGCTGCTGCCCAGTTTTTCAAATTGTTGGACAGAGTTCCTAAAATCAGCATAAGCCAGTCAGATGGAGAGAAATGGGTTGGTGAATGTCAATAACTGTACATTGAAATGGTTCATGAGTTTTAAGATGTAGCCCCAGTGTTACTTTTGTGAATCTTGTCATCCATCTTTAGGAAAACTTCAGAGGAGAAATAAATTTCCTTAATTGCAAATTTACCTATCCGACACGACCGGACACCCAGGTGTTGAAGGGCCTCCGTGTGTCTGTGAATCCCGGGCAGACTTTGGCATTTGTTGGGAGCAGCGGCTGCGGGAAAAGCACAAGCGTTCAACTGCTGGAGAGGTTCTATGACCCTGATGAAGGGCAAGTGGTGTGTGTTGACTGATTTAAATGTTAATTTCAGATACACAAAATGTATTCAGTGTGAGCAAAACCATTCACTCTGTTGTAACTGTGTCACCTTTTCTTTTCAGGTGATTGATAGCGTCCCATCTCATTCAGTCAATGTGCCTTTCCTAAGATCTCAGATTGGGATAGTGTCCCAGGAGCCAGTTTTGTTTGACTGCAGTATAGCTGAGAACATACAATATGGAGATAACACCCGCAGTGTCAGCATGGAGGAGATTATTGAAGCTTCTAAGAAAGCTTATCTTCACGACTTTGTGATGACGCTTCCTGATGTGAGTAGGACTGAAATGACACAAAATGTTGTCTGCTCAGTCATTTTTTGATTAAAAAGAAAGCTGAGTAAGCGAACTAAGCATAAATTCAGAATTAAAGCTAAATTGAATGTGATGTTGATTGCCTATAGTTACTTTTAGTAACTGGCAGAATGTGCAGACAAGCGTTTTCCAGAGCAGATGCTAAATACACTTAGTATAGGTTTACTATCCTAAAAAAAAATCAAACAAACACACATTTTAAAGATGACTTGTGGTGAACTTAGAGTATAACTTGCTGCTTTTTACGCCTCTCTCTTTCAAACTGGTAGAAATATGAGACTCAGGTTGGTGCCCAGGGCTCGCAGCTGTCAAGAGGACAGAAACAACGCATCGCTATTGCACGTGCTATTGTCAGGAACCCCAAGATCCTGCTGTTAGATGAGGCCACGTCTGCCCTGGATACCGAAAGTGAAAAGGTATCTTTTAAGTCCTCTAATCTAGTCTTTTAAATGAAAGTTTGCCAAAACATATCCATATCATATATCCATAACACACAAAAGGAACTCGCTGATGACAAAGATTCTTTGTCCTGCAGACCGTGCAGACTGCTCTGGATGAGGCAAGAAAAGGACGAACCTGCATCGTCATCGCTCACCGGCTGTCAACCATCCAGACTGCAGACATCATAGCTGTGATGTCTCATGGAGCTGTCATCGAGCAAGGCACACATGATAAACTCATGGCCAAGAGGGGCGCCTATTACAAACTGGTCACAACAGGTGCTCCAATCAACTAGAATTATATGAGCTTGTTGTATTTACAGAGCTGTTTAGTTGCAAACTTGAACCATTTGGAAAATCGTCCTTCATATCCTGCTCATTTAAACGCATAACTTTACTTTGTTTTCATAAAACTCCTCCCAGGATAAAAAAAGAAAATATACAAATTTTATTTTCTTCAGTACACATCATCATCATCATCATCATCAAAAATCAATACATCTATCAGCAAATCTCCCATATCCAAATACAGATACAATTTCTTTACAAAATTTGTCAGTTTACTCTGTACAATTATATCCTTAATGCTAATTAACTCCATCTCATAAGCATTGGGTCTTAACCTAAAATATACAGGTAGATATTTCTGTCTATATTCAAATAAATAGAGATACTCATATCCAGGTTTCGCCAAACTATGAAGGACACATAAACGTTTAATAAACTTAACCCCATAAAATCTGTCCGTAAGTACTGGGATACCACCGACTCCACATCTAAACTTTGCCAAATAGCACCAAATGGAATGATCTAAACCGCACAAGAATCTGTTTTTGTTATCAATTAATTATGTGACGATAAAGCTCTTTTTTGTATATTTATTTGCCTGTAATGAGTGTTTATAAATGAAGAAGATGAGGATAAAGACTTTTGCATGTATTAATCCACGTTTGCATCACTGAACCACAGTTATTGTTTTTTTTAAATATATATACATATAAATATATATACAAAAATTATATAATAAAACAATCATTAAAGTAATCTATTTCTAATGTTTTGGTATGGCTTTTTCCTACCAAAATATCAACATTTCTCTTCAGTTTAAAACAATACATCTTACTGTATTGTTTTAAACTTCGCATATCGAAGTTATTATGGATAGTTAAGCATCTATTTTCTTCTACTCAGCTAGTTCATGTGACGGTAGCATGGAGTCCATCCTAGCTCCCAGAGAGCAAAAGGCAGGGCACACAGTGAATGTGTTATAGGTCTACTACGGGGCTAATACAGAGAGATAAACAACCATTACCACCTACAGCCAATTCATTGCCAATTAACCTAACACAGAAAGAAGGCCCAATCTGGCAAACGCATTTGAACCCAGGACAGTTTTTGCTGTGACACAGCAGCGCTAACCACCATTTAATTGGGACCTTTGGACCTTTTGAGGTCAGAAAGAGTACTTTATCTGTAAGGAGGAAATATTTTGCTCATGGGTGCTGAAATCAATTTTTTTTCATTTTATATTTAAACATAACCAATAACATAGTGAGCAGAGGTCTTTATACCTAAAGCAAGTTCTCCTTTAAATTGTAGCTGTATTAAAAAAAATTCTTTTCTTAGGCAAATTAGTTTTCATAAATATTTATATTAACTATGCTGGAGCTGGAGTGGACAGAGTTCAGGCTGCTGAGTGGTTCTCTGTTGCTGCACCCTCAGTACCAGTTGATAATAAAGCACCCAGGCACACAGATGTTTCTTCGAGCTGGGCTTAATGAGGAGCCTACGCACTTAGGACAGTTACATAATTCAGAGCCAGCCTCAGGTGCCACTGGATGCTAAGCAACCCGGGATGGTGGAGAAAAACGTGGAAATACGTTCTGCTGGGGAGTTTAACTAATCTGCCTAATCTGGTTACATCAGAGCTTCTGTTCTGCTTCATTTATTTTGGCTGATTAATATCTAAGTTTTCCTGAAGAGAGCTACAAGAGATTATTCAATGCATGCAGAGCAAGCTGAATGTCCATACATTTAAAGTGCTTAAAAACTAAAAATGATACTTTTATAATTGACATTTCTGACATAATATAAATATCGATAAACTGTCATTTCTGACAATCTAGAATTTCACCTGTTCTTTCATCTGAGCTGCAGTGGTAAGGGATCTTACTCGTTATCTATCTGTTTTTATTGACTTTTACACAGAACTGATGGGCTAACAGGTCACAATAAAATCTGGAGGTCTAATTTTGTTTCAGGCTTTTGTGGTGTAAACTGTCAAAATGAAGTTTTCAAAAACCATTTGTGCTCTAATTTGTGTGTAACCTCTTAAACACGGACGTAAACCCTAAAAAGGATGGATATTCGTAAGGAAAAAATGGGAAAACACTTCAGGCAAAAGCATCTCCCAAATGATTCCAGGGTTGTATAATGTCCCAAAGAAACTCTTTAATAAGAAATTCAACAGTCTTTACAGTTATTGTGATTTACATATAAAACAAACACCATAGAATGGACTCAGGTAAGCAACAGATCAAACAAATGAAAATTTCAAAACATGTTATTCAAACCCACAAATGCAACTTTTTTAAACATACACTGTTTCAGTCCTCGTGTGATTACGGCCATAATACACATACATATTTACACTTGTTTGCCAACACTACCATTCAACCTTGCTGATATCCTTGATCAATAAGTGTTGGGGGTAATATTTTAAAACTTGAAAGCTGCTCCACTGTCTAAGCTAGCTTCCTCTCTTCATGCTCTCTGATGAGCAAATTAACACAGTAAGGAATAACAGCAACCACACCGAGAGGTATTGAAGCACTTTTACAGAACGACAGTATATAAAACAGAGCCTCATTGTGAGTGGGCATTTTAATAAAGTTGTACAGTTGCAGAAATGTGAGCGTTGCAGTCACGCACATGAGTTTAAACATACTTTTGCAGCCGTTCTTCCCTTTGCAGCTCTGAACAAACATCTCAGAGTTCACTGCCAGGCCCAGACCAAATAAGGCTCCCAGGTTTCTAACCAGACCGGCAAAAGGCGTCGTGTCGAGATGGATCCAGTCTGGGTTAGCGCACCACTTCTTGGCTTTGCTGACTGACCACATGGGATCGATATCCAACAGTTTAAAGAGCAGATAAAAGCAAACAGCGAAAGAGAAAAGAAAAATGTTGGTTTGGAGGTAAACTTTCAAGCTTGCATTGTAGACTGAGGGGATGTGATTAAAGGCCTCAGCAATCAGCATGCCTACACATTAAAGAAAGAAAAAAGGTTTTTAGTCCTAAAACAAAACAACAGATATATCAGATATTTTTTTGACAGCAGAGTGGAACACACCCGTGAAAACACCGAGGATAACTTGATGTGGAAAGTGTGTTGCAATAAAAATCCTGGAGATGCAAACACTTATCTGAATGACCCAGAAAGTCATCCACAAAAAGGACCTCAGAAGACAAAACCTGTAGGAATAATACATATTTAAAAAAAGACAAAACAACTAACTTAATTGTAAAGATGTATATAACCTCTCACCTTTGAAAGCTGTGTACAGATGAGGCACGGGAGGGCCGAGCATAATTTAAAGCAGAAGTGATCATCACATACCACACGCATGATGAGCCCATGGCGTGACCAGATGGACAGCCTGTTCAGAAAAACATTAAATAAAGTTTTCTACACTTTAATAGCTTTAAGTACCGACTCGTACATGCATACTAACCTGGCCCTGTTTCACAAGTGATATGAAACTGGTCCAAATGTGGTTTTGAATCATTGTGGTAGAAGGGTGTTTCTTGCACCCACCAGTATGGTCGGTGCCCAAATAAAATCCTGCAAAAGAAAATATAAGAATAAAGTTCAGAAATACATAAAATAAAGATACAAATGCTAACCTAAGAGTAGGCTTACCATTTAAAAATAAGGTTGAACCAGTCTCCAATGACAGCCACCCAAATCATCTTGGTGCCAACATTGTGACTGAGATGGAACCAGAGAGGAAAATAAACAGACAAAATATTACGAGGGTCACCCACTACTGACACAAAATCAATGAAGTCATGGTATTGCCAGTAGTTGTTCTGCAGGTACTGTATAACCTGCACACCAAAGCTGTAGACAAAATCCATGTGGTTCCCTATCTATGTACACAACTGCAACAGCTTCTTCTTCAATGCCAGCTAAAGCACCGTGAGCCCTTTCCTACCTCAGGAACTTTATATCAACCTGGCATCATAAATCATTAAATGAAGCCATGGCAACAACTGCAATATCTTTGCTTTGAACCCAACATAAAATAATGTTGCCATTAGGGCTCAGCATTTTAAGACATGTTACAAAACTGTTTACACCCTGAGCATGTAGACATTAGATTTTTCACACAACATTGCTTTTACAATTGTTAAATATTAGCCATTGTACACACGAAGAAAGACAGTTCCACGTAACCTGCTGGATCCTTTCAGCCTCATTAATATTCTCATTCTCAGTGAACGTAGCAACAAAATGAGCTTCCTATAATGCTGCAAGAGAAAAACACAGCCCATCTGGCATCTGGCACAGTAGAGTTCACTGAGTACATCTGTTAGCATTCAGCTATCTTCCCATTCTAATCAGAGCACAAATACTGAAAAAAGTATAATGTTGTTTTATATAGTTTGGACGGAATTTCGGATCCATCTGAACTTCCACAACTGACCACAAGGTGGGATATCGTTTTAGCAAAAAACATCCTGAAAACATTATATATATCATTATAAATATAAATTTAGCAAGAGGAGTGGGTTATTTAATATTTTTAAACCATGTTTTCTCGGTTTAAAAACATAACAATCTTTAGCTCATTTGAAAGCAGAGAAAATAACACGAATGATAAACGTAATTTCCGGTTGTCGTTGAGTGCCCGCCCCCTACGCGTAGACCGCGGATTTTTGAAAATAACGACCTGCGCAACAGCAAGACGTAAATCTAGAGTTCTCTTCAAAACATGTGAGTGTTACACTGAAACGTTAAT